GGGATTTTAACGGCGTCCACCCCACGTTATCACTGTGTGATAGTCTGTCAGTCTTGTCCCAGCTCCACACTTTTGCCTCTATTTATTTCACTCTTTATTTGGGTTCCACCTTGTGCCCTTGGTTCCCCCTTCAGGTTCCTGCTTAGAAGCCCCATCCCTTTTGCCTCCAACTTGTACGTGGAAAAAAAAAAAAAAAAAAAACTATCTCAATAAACCCTTTGGAGGAAAAAAAAAAAAAGAAAGATCACAAGTTCAAGGCCAACCTGCACAACTTAGCAAGAGCCTGTCTCCAAATAAAAGTGCAAACAAATAGTCATCCTGTGCTTCAGGACACAACCAACTACTTGGCAAAAGCACAGATATCACTATATTTGAATCAGACTAACTAGAAGTCACTCCCTCTTACAGGAAGAAAACTTTGATCCCCCAAAGTACAAAACAGTAGGGTTCTTGAAAAAAAAAAAAAAGAGTAACTGTTGGATTGGTGAGCACTGTCTTACAGCTCTGGCTGTGAGCGCTCAGAGAGATGAGTCTCTTTCAGTGGTTTCTTTATCTAATACATATGGATAATTACAGTTGTGCCATATAGATTTGTGAGCATAAATAGGATCATTCCTGAACAGTATTTGCCATCATGCATTCCCCCCAAATTAACTATTACCTTGCCATCTAATTTTCAATGGTGTGCTTTCTGTATCTCCCCTAACTCACCTCTTCATGCTGCTAAAACGTTTTATAACATCTTTGCATGATTGGGAGCTTTTTTTTTTCCTTGAAGGGAACAAACTGAGTTTCTCCTTGTCTGCAGTTCTACAGCCCTTTAACCAACTTACTTGAGGAAAACTACAAAAGTAAACTCAATGCTATCTTAAGAGACTGACAAATACTAAAAATAATGGGAAAATTACTATAACTCTGGCTGGAAATCATCTTGCTCCATTTGAAATTCCAAACATAATATTTGTTTTTCCTATAATCCATTATAAACCCACATTTGACTAGTCCACCATGACCTTCACGCCTTGCTATGTCTAGCAAGCCATGCCTCTTCCAATTCTTTTTTCATTACTCCTTTATCTTCTGGTGGTTGATCTGTAATAATTGTTTACACTGTGTCCCATACAAATAAAAGATATCTTTCAAATACCTTCCTAAGATATCTGTGAAGCATATTGCTTTGGGTAGTATGAACATCTTAATATAAATTTTCACTGCTTTGATCT